GGGAATGTGCTAAGAACACTGAGCAGAAGAAATACTTTAAACGGGTGAACAGTACGCCATGTGCAAAGAGTGTCACACTCCAGTCATCCCAGTTAGCTCCTCTGGGCTGACAACCTGGCCGTGACAACTGAATGTGTTTCGGCAGGAAGTGTGACATTGAATGGTCTGGAAGACATCCACTGAAAACGAGTAAGAGGAAAAAGAGCTTCTGGTGCTTAAAGCAGTGTGACTCAGGGTCTCTATCCAAAGGAGTCCCTGAGGACTGCCTGGGCAGGAACAACAAGCTTTCGGGGGCTTATAACACTTGTGAAGTCAGGTCTTAAGATTTCACAAATTACGCATGTTCTTTAGTATGTCTAAGAAAAAAGCTGATTGATAAATTAAAAATTTATATATATTTTGGGAACCAAATGAAGGGGTCTTAAAATGAGGAAGAACCAAACTATGTGACAGGGCATTTACAATGGACAAAACTTGTGGATTGATGTTTAAAATTCTTACATTTCGTGTTGGAAAAATCAACTATTAAAAATAATACTTTTTTTTAAAGGCCTTGAGACAATTTCAAGCTGCCTGCAGTTTCTCTCAGCCCGCCCACTGGAGGTGGGTCTAAGCCTGTAATCACTACAGAAAATGAAAATGGAATGGGATGGCACTGATACTGTAATTCTCTTTTGAACATTGGCTTTCGAAGTACCAGAGTTGTAGTGACATGCTCTGTAAGAATTCTGACCTGTTGGACTAAGTTCACAGATTTCATGAAGCACATTTTGAGGGGAATTTGCCCAGTTATTTTAATGCCCCCATTCATGTGCTATATGTCAAGACCATGATACCTTACGTTTAATTTTTTTAGATCATGAAATCTTTCATACAGTAAGACAACAGAACACCCGCGGACCCACCCATAATGGTCTTATTATTAATAATACAAAATTAATATGCAGACATTTTACTACCCTTGCTTCACTTTATTATTCCTCCCCTGGCTTCCTGCTCCCTCTCCTCCCGCATGTACACAACCGTGTTATGGTCATGCCTGGATCTCAACTGCAGATTCTCACCTTATCCTGTCACTGATACTTAACCCCTAGACCATGAGCTGGGCACTAAGTACTATATCATTTTATTGCTGGACAAGAACTGAGGTGGCTTATAATAAGGGAACTGATGTCCAGAAAAGGTAAGTGGTTTGCCTTTTCAAGATACCAGAGTCTGAAATCCACAAATTGTTCTTTTTTGTCCAGCAAAATGGAATAGTAGAAATGGCATGGGCTTCAGAGGCAAACTCACTGGAGTTCAAATCCTGAGATGGCCATTTACAAGGGAAACAAGTTGTCCATAGGAAAAAATCCAAACACCTGAGCACCCGTTTTCTTCTGTGACATGGAAATTATACCAGCTCCTCTTCAGAGCACTTGCAAGAATCAGAAATCTAACAAGTGGCACTGCGCCTGGCATGGAATAAGAATTCACAAAGAGCAATCTTGAATTCCGATTTTTAATGAGTACCTATTATGTGCCAGGCATCGTTTCAGGCACTGAGGTCATAGCCATGAATGTGACAATGTCCCTGCATTGTGATGGCTAAAAAATCACCAGTAAAACCTATCATTAACCAATTGTATGTGCATCCATTTGAAAGTTTTTGTTTTCTATGCCCGTGATGTTCTCTTCTGTTGCTTCTATGGTCTATGTTTTCCTGATTCATACTGATTTTTTTGTTTCCCAGACCAACCTAAGAGCTGAGGCTGGCCAGAGACAAACCAAATGACAGCTATCGAGTTAGTCATCAGGTGAGAATGGGAGACGAGATATTCTGGAGATCCAGATGAGTAAGACAGTTTCCTGTCTCAAATAATTCTTGGTCTGTTGGCAATATTAATAATCGAGACCATTTGCGGAGTACTTACTTGAGGTCAGGTGTTAGGTGAGGCACTGTACAATTATTACTTTTTAATTAACTATTTCTTTTAATCAACCTTTTCTTTTTTTTTTTTGAGAGGGCATCTCTCATATTTATTGATCAAATGGTTGTTAACAACAATAAAATTCTGTATAGGGGACTCAATGCACAATCATTAATCAACCCCAAGCCTAGTTCTCAATAGTCTCCAATCTTCTGAAGCATAATGAACAAGTTCTTACATGGTGAACAAATTCTTACATAGTGAATAAGTTCTTACATGGTGAACAGTACAAGGGCATAATCAACCTTTTCTTTAAGGTATAATGATTATTATAATTTACTTTCATAGTGGTTTGCTGGACCTTTCAATAGAGTCTCAGTAACTACTGAAATGAAGATTTCTAAAAGAAAATTCTATTGTACAGCTTAAACATTCATGAAGGCAGAAATCTGAATAAATTTTGCCAATTAGGACTGAAGCATTCTAATGACAAAGGTGATAGTATTAAAAAAATAAGAATGGAACTCTGAGCCTCCTATACCCTAAGTTCCCAGATTTCAGATAAAATTTTGAAGCTCCACCCATTACAGGATCAAAAGGCAAAAGACCAAATACCTTGGACAGCATTTCTCAACTGATCAACTTGAGTGACATGGAAAAGAGGCTACTGGCTCCTTTTGAAAGGACTATAATTATCTTTAAAGATAAGGCTGAGTGACTACTCTCTCCAGACCTTTAAAGGCTTCCTTTGTAGCCACAGGGTAAGCCTTTAGCATGGCCTTCAAGATTTCTTGTAATCTATTCCCCACCCCCACCCTCCACTGTTTTTGTTACTGATTCACACATTCTTCCAGGCAGTCTACCAGCCATTCAAGGCTTCCATCTGTTGCTTGAACCACTCACCTCGGACATTTCACCTCTGTGGTTCTGCCAATAGCGTTTCTTCAAGTTGGAATATCCTTCTCACTCATCTCCTCATCCCAAACCCACCACCTCTCGGCCCGGATACCACTGCCTCCTCACGGAGCCTTTCCCAATTGCGCTCAGAACTGCTTCCTCCTTCTTCACTCCCTCACAAGGTTTCTGGCTCTTTTACAACATTCATTTTGTTCTACTAAGATCCTTTTTCCTTGACTGAGCACCTATCTCCACAGCCTCGTCTTCTACGCAGAGTGGCTCTCAAACGCTGCTGGATGAGTGAAGGGCTGAAGAGAAGGACTGTCCCAGCAGCTGCAGTCACTTCTCCATGTGTCCCCCTGACCATAGGCCATCCATTTGACCACCAAGCCCAGAAATCCAGGGCTGGAAGAAAGCCCAGTAGGTGGTCCAACCTTGGTCCACAGCCCCTTCTAAGACAATCCTAAAGAAAAAGATGGTCTGTTAGAACCTGACATTAGAAACACTATCAACCCTTCTCACTTCTCCTCAATGGACCTGTTATTTTTTTTAAGTTTTGATACTTTTAATTAAAAAAAAAAACCCACCAACACATTCATATTCAGAGGTTATTTTACAGGAGTCAACAAGCATGAAGTCCGCCCACTGCCTTTCCCAGAAGTAACTACTCGGGACAGTTTAACATGCAGTTTTGTTTCTACACATTTACACATATATTTTATACCAATGAGAATATTTTCAGCATAAATAGGAGAGAATATTCTATTTCACCTTTGGTTTTTAAATTCTCTTCATTTAACACACCGGTTACACATGAGGCTGGACATTTTCTTTGGAATGCATCTTGGCCATTCATTTCTTTTCCTGTGAACTATTTCTTCATAACCTTTTCCTACTTTTCTAATGAGTTGGCTGTTTTCTTCTTGGTTTCTATTAACTCCTAAACTCACACACTATGAACACTCATCTTTTGCCACATATGTTGCACAGACCTATTTCCATCACATTCATTTACCATTTCCTGAAAGTATAATTGCAGGCAAGCCATCAACCAAGCCTTAGTTTCCTTACCTAGATAATGAGGAGAATTAAGTGGGACCCGCGTGCCAAGTATGAGCATTAAGCCTGGCATTCAGTAAGTACGTGGTAAATGTTGGCTACTCTTTATTACCTAGATTTGGGGGTCACAAGTTGGCTAGGTGTGTAGTTTAGCCCATTAAAAATCATACATTTGAATCCCTTAGGTGAGGCATACATTGTTCTAGTTGGCTATACCCTTCCTTGCCTCCCCTTCCTGGCATCTCAGATTTTGTCAACAACTCTCCACTTGCCAAAGTTTCTAGTATATGAAAATAAAGTAGGCTTTGAAATTATGTATCACCCATGATACGTTATACAACACTAGGATGTCCCAGTTACAGGGCCACCTACTTATGGAGCACCTTGGAGTTGGACAATGTATAACCCACGCATCTACACATGGCAGCCTGGTCCACATTTCAAGAAGGGCATTCTCACAGCAATTTTAAAAGCTTTCCCAAGAGGCATCCCTTAATTTTATAGACTGGGTAGGACACAAGGAGCTATTAAGCCAGTAGTGTGCCCCAATATCTCAACACCCAGATTGTGAAGGATCAAGTCATCAGGTCCCTGCTTGGTACCCTGTCAAAGGTAAGATTACAGCTTCTGGATTTCCAGAGGCTCCCCAGAGATCATCAAAGAAAAAGACCTAACAGAAATCCACTACCTTTATAACAAAACCATAGATGGTCTTTGGCTAGATAACCCTTACATGTATGTAAATTTCACGTTGTTTCACAAAGTATGTTTATACACTCATTGTAACATTTGTTTATTAACAAAGGCTTTTAAGAATGGTCAGTGATTCTTATAGCCATTTTGGGGACCACCAGATGCTGAATCTGGGGAGAACTGCCTCTCTCCAGAGAACTAAAAGGCAGTCTTACTTACCAGTCTAAAGCAACTGTGGCAAAGTGGACAGTCTGAAATAATGTATATAAAACCCAGGGAGACAGGGACAGCCACCCGGTCATCTGTTATGGTTTTAAGACAATGGCTAGGTAATACATGCATGCATGCACATGTGATTTCTAATGCACAAAGCAGTGGAAAGTTTTGAGACTGATAAACTTGTCCCTGGAAACTGAATATGCAAAAATGAGAGCAAAATAAACCCAAGTCCAACCACCTCGTTAATAGCTGAGGTCTTTATTTCAATTTGTATGTACAGTAAAAGTGCTGCTGAGAATATACAGCAACTAGACAAAACATAAATGTAATTCTCTCTCAACAATTAGCAGCTTAAGATCTATCAACTACAGTGTTAACGTTCACACGTTCACAAGTGTCATTTCTGTACTTTTCAATTCGTGCAAGTGAGTTTTTATTCTTACACACTTTGATAAAACACACAGTCTAGTAGTCAATCCTATGGAGGGCATCACCCAGCATACACAACACACAGACAGAAATGTTAACTCTTAGAACCACATTCAAAATCTCCAGTTTCATTTGGGGGTGAGAACTATAATTCCTGTGTCAATCTGTTGATTAGGACATTTGGTTTTGTTTTGGATGCACTTTTTTCCAAAGCTGAAAGGCAGCTCCTCACTGGAACTCACTCAGAATTCAGCACTTCATTGGACTGTACCTCAGAGGATTTTGAAATCAGGAACAAAACCAAATTCAGTGAAGACCACATAAAAATATGCCCCTTTTTAGGACATGTCTAGCAAGGAAGGCTTGACCCCAGTGTTTTTTCTTGGTATCAGATTTTTACCTCCATTGGGTAGAGCGGGTAGAAGAGGTACAGAGGAAGAGAGAGGAGCCCAGTCAGTGAAGTGTGAAACTTAACCTACTTTTGCTTCTTAAGGAGCCTGTAGGGCAGAAAGCCTTCCTTGCTAGGATGCAGCGAGTATATATGATGGGATCAGAACTAGAGCAGACAGAAGTGCCCTTCAGTTATCATAAAAAAGGTAAAATGTTAAGTCATTTTAGAACCAGCACAGAGTCACACAGGCTGCCCCAGCCAGCCTCCCGCACCAGCACTAATAAGTCATCCAGCAATGCTTCATTTTCCAAAGGGAACGAATGCCCAGAGTGTGTAAAAGAGGTGGAGTATTAATGCAAGGGGAAGTTTCACAGAGCAGAACAAATGTTAAATCATTAGAGTGAGGTTAGAGAAGAGCTTAAGAGCTTAAGAATACTAAGAGAATCCAAGAACAGCCACAATGCCAAGAAACTCAAAGGCAGCACATATGGGCAGCAGAGCATGGGGGAGGTAAGGAAAACAGATGCACACATACAAATAGCATCCAAGGCAGGCAACTGTTGGGCCTGGTGAATCACCAAGGGACAAGAGAGCTTTCTAGCCATTACTGTGCCTGACCTAGCCTGAAGGTCCTTCCTAAGACAGTCTGAGAGAGGAGGATGGAACATTAGCACAGGCCTGTTTGGCTGGGAGCTCAGGGGCTTTCCAGAGCTGAAAACCTTTGATAGAAACTGTCCCAAAGCAAACAGGAACAATTTTAACCTACCTTTCATAGTTATTTCTGGAGCCCACAAAACTTAGTAGCTCTATACAGTTTAGGGGATTCAGAGGTTCACTGAAATACTGGAGGACTGTGGCTAGAGCATCTTTTCAAAACTTTGTGGGAGCTCTTTTCCCTACTCTGAGCAATTAACGCTAAAGTAGAATGTTAGGACTGCAAGTCTGACAAAATCATGGTGTCCTTTGGCACTCCTGTCTAAAGTCATTACAGTATTTTTAAGCAAAGTTAACATCTTAAACACATAGGCATGGGAAGAATTTGTTTTTGATCTGAACATGAATTGGTTCCAAATACTTCTTAATAGAAAAACCACCCCTATGGTCCCTGTTGCGGGCACGAATTTTGAGAGGTCAGCAGAGCTAACAGGTTTACAGTCACCTGGGGATGGAGTGAAGATTGGGTACCTGAGTTAAAATATCAAAATGATTATGGAAACATGCTGACTTGGAGAAGGCCAGTCTGCCAAAGCAACAGGAGGCTGCTGTTGTCATGTAAACCATCCTCTCAGGCAGAGAAGGCAATGCTCATCTAGTTTCAGAAGAATTTTCTGGCATGGGGGAAATGGGCAAAGCATGCTTTGCTACTCTTCTGAGGGCATATTTTGTGGCCCCCAGCTCATCACTTAGTTGTACCGACCTGAGGCTCAGTGCAAACAGCATTTGCGATCCAACACTATGAGTATGGGAAGATTAGCTAAGCTTCCTCGGGATGCTCTCAAAGCCCAGTTCCATTTCAGTTCTAGGATGGGGAGGAAGGCTCAGTCCTCTTTTCTAAACTGCCTGTAAAAGTCCACTGAGCCCAGTTACGTTAATGAGTCAGTCTTGCTGAACAGAAAGCTGACAACATTTTACAAACCAAACTTGGGGTCCTTCTAACCTGACATTATTCTTTTCTTTCTTTAGGGAGAATCAGCTTCAGTTGATTCTCTCAGGCAGACAGAATAAAGCTTTGAAATTAAGGATGCTGGGGCCAAAATGCAGCCAGAAGATTCCACTTCACTTTGGTTTCAATAATTAGGGGGTGCTAAAAAAAATAAATTAGGGAAAGAAGCACAAGGAATTATTTATGACTCTCATAATAAAGTCTCAATTTTTCCTAAAGACAACCCCACCAAAGTCACTGGGTGAGCATTTTCTTGGGGCAAACAAGTCTCTCTCCTATCACACTGGTTTGTGGAGACAGCCTCCCTCTCTCCCTGCATACCATATTCCTCTCCAACCAAACCAAGTGGTGGTGTGGGGGTGGCAGGACACCAAAAGGCAGCAGCAGTGGCCAGAGGAGGGAGTTTTAGGCTGTATTTTAAAACAAGGGCATCAGAGGGGGGCATTTATAGCAAAGTCTTCATTTACTCAAACTGTTTCAAGACAAGAGGGAGCAGCACACTTACATAGCCACACATTTCTTCATTTAAAACATCACTTCTTTATTTCAAAGGAAAAATAAAAGACCCTCCCAACCCTTTCCAAAAAAACCCGATAATAATAATAACAATAATAAAAAATCCTACTGGAAACAATGAGGAAGCACTGAGAGTTTGAGTATTACATTCTTCAAGTATGCTGTTCGGGTGTTTTTTTTATGTTGGTGACTATACACATATTTTTAAAAAAACCTTAAAAGTGCGGCCAAGGGATTTTGCTTAAAATTAAGTATTTAGAGGGCTACTTCAAAATACTGTAGTAGGACTGTGCAGTGATCCTGTGGGCCAAGATGCTCTCACTTTTGTATCCTGGCACCAGGTTCAAAAGTGATCATAGTTCCAGGGTTAGCATGAGTGGCCAACGTGGGTGGGTAAAACCAGGGAGAGCCATGTGTTTGTCCACAAACAAGGACAATCCACCCTGAATCCAAAAATTCAGACACGGAATGGTAGGATTTCACAGTATAGTTAGTCTGGGAGGGGAGAGGTGGTGCCCAGACAAGGCAAGGTGTCAGGTTGACCAGTTCCCCGAGTCAGGTTTTCGCATCTTTTTAGGGGTTTTAGTGCAGTCCTTCAAGCCACAGTTTAGAATGCCCTTCAATGTGCTCCGGATTGTTGATTCATAGTAAAGGACTGTTTCAATATTTGCATCCCAAGGAAAATCATGCTACATAAAAATGATCCAAGATTTTTGCCCAAAAAACTTCTTGGATAAAATCTAAAAAATACTATTGCAGTTGCGTCTCTTGAAGAAAAAAACATTATTCTAAATGTAAACAGATTCACTCAACTCTTGTAGAAAACTTCAGAGGAGGTAAGCGGCCGCCCACTTGGCCGCATGCACTCGCCGGGGTGGGGCCGCCTGGTGCGCTGGCGTCACCGGGGACACGTGAAGAACCTCTCCGCGTAGCTGAAGAGGGCGTCCCAGTGCTTCCAGAGAAAGGCAAGAAGAACCACCAGGAATAAAGTGCTGAACGTCCTGTTGCGAGTCTTCATGAGAGGCAGCACGCAGTTGGCCACTGTGGAGACGAAGACCAGCAGGACGGCCATGACCGCCAGCAGGACGTTGATGAGCTTGCCCAGCAGGTTCCGCGCAGTGGCGCTCTCAAGGCCCTCTAGCTGCACGACCTGCTGCTGCTGCTGCTGCAGCTCCATCTTGGAGATGCGCGTCTGGCAGGCCTCCAGCGCCTCCTGCGGGCCAGAACGGGACAGGTCAGCCTTCCGCTGCCCACCGCGGCCACTGACATGCAGAGCCTTGAGTTAGAGGCCGTGTGGGGAACGCACTGCCACACTTGCCTGTGCCTCCCTGGCCACACTTAGGTTTGCTCTTGAATAACTGACCTCAATTCTGACTTCCTTTTTTTCATTTTTATTTGTTAATTTAAATCATATAAATTGCACAGGACACATACTTGTTAAACCTAAAAATTTTCAAATAGGATATGTAGTCTCTCAGTGTTGTCCTCAGCTCCAGTCCCTGCCCTTGAAGTAGCCCTGTCAGTTTGGTGTCCCATCCTCCCACCTGCGTGTACAGGTGCAGGGGTACATGTGGAATTACTTTATTTTCTAGCTTAAGTAGTATCCTACTACAGGAACAGGTCCATCACCGGCTCTCTTCTCCTAAAGGTGCATCTTGGTGACCCTCTCCGTGTCAGAGCGTAAGATCCACCTCAACCTTTATCGCATTTTATGGCACAGATATGTCACTGTTTATTCAGTCAGTTCCCTACTGGACAGATATATGTTATTCCCAACTTTTCCACTACAGCAATGATAAGGTGAACATCCTCTGGACTTCCTTGTATGTACTACCAGGTGTTTTCCAAATCAAGTGAATCACTGGTATCAGTGGAAAGGGCTCTCTGATCGGTCTTCTTAGGAAGAGCATACTCCCATTTTTAGGTTGATCTCTGTGAAAAGGACACTATGCCCAAACACTAGAGCAAACATTACAAGTGAGGGATGCTCTCCTCAAGGTCATGACCTTCACCTATGAGTTTATATGAAATTTACTACATAATTCAGAGGAGAGAACCTATTTTCTTAGCTGTGATCAGGTACCCTCCAAAGTTGGACAGTGGTGGGAGCCCTGGGTTTTTCTAGTCTTGGATCAGTGGGTTCTGGTTTCCTGGGATTTGAGGTAAGGCCAGGCACCTTCAAACTGAAGTTAGCTACAGAATGGGCAGACAACAGATTCTTCCCACCCAGAACAATCTTGGGGAAAACACTAAAACATAAGCAGAGTTCTGGGGCCAGGCATAGATGGTCACTGGGCAAATGATCAAGCCCTCCCTGTGATTCCTTTAGGCTGCTGTAATACAAGCTTCCCGGACGACCTCCTTTCTCTAAGTCTAGCTTATTTCAAGGAGCTTTCACATGAAACTACCAACTGCTTCCTTATGAGTACATCCCAAATGTGATGAGAAGAAGTTAAATATTTGACTTTCCAACAGAATAAACCAGAGGGCTTTTAGCCTTAAGCCCTACTGCCTCATGTGTTATTCTTGCAAACTGCCGGGTAATGTGCCTGCCTGTAAAAGGTCTGGGTTTGGCAGCTCAGACAAAGCTGCCTTTGCCACAGAAGGAGAAGACAGACAAGATGGACGTGAGACTTGTCAGGGACCTCTTGGAGCAGTGATCCACAGATATAATGCATGTGGTGATCCACATACTGAGACCGTCGTGATACTGAGAAACAGGTCCCAAGAACCCAGGCAAGCATATCATCCAAGCGTGTGGACTCTGGAGAAATGCACCTTGTTTGAAGAGCAGGTGTGTTACAGTAGTATAATCTTCTTTTGATACTTTCCCTGTCCCATTTTTTTCCCCTAAACTTTTTTATATTGTGGTAAAATATACATAACAAAATATACTATTTTAACCATTTTAAAGCGTACAATCCCAGTAGTATTTGGTAAATTCACAATGTTGTGCAACCATCACTACTATCAAATTCCAGAACATTTTCATCACCCTAAAAAGAAACCCCCCACCCTTTAGCCAGCATACTCCAGTTCCCCTCCCTCCAGCCCCCGCAACCACTCATCTCCTTTTGGTCCCAGTAGACTTGCCTATTCTGGACATTTCCCGTAAAAAAAAAATCATACAGCATGTGGCTTTTGTGGCTGGCTATGTCACTGAGCATGTAGTCTAGATTCATCCATGTTGTATGTTTCAGAGCTTCATTCCTTTTTCCTTTTTATTGTGGTAAAATACATGTTATATAAAATTCATCATCTTAACCATTTTTAAGTGTACACTTCAGTGGTATTAAATGCATTAAATTGGGCAACCACACCACTATCCCTCTCTATAGATCTTTCATCTTGTGAAGCTGAACCTTTATACTCATTAAACAATAATCCCTGTCTGCCCCCCACCCCCTCCCCTGCCACCACCCTCCCCACTGCCCCGGACAACCACCATTCTATTTTGTCAGTTACACCCGATCCTTTGTGCTAACCTGGATGTCCCGGGCCCGTTCATAGGACTGATATGCAATTTTCTCTTCCATGCTGGCCAGTTCCTGCTTCAAGTTCAAGATTTCATTCTGGTGGAGCTCTGTTAGGTCATTTAGCTGTTCTTCTAATCGCTCACATCTAAGAAGGGGGAAAAGTTACAATTTTATGTATGTATTCTATACTTCTCCTGGTATTACTCATATCTAGTCCCCAAAACACATTCTGCAAAGAAAGAAAATAAGAGCACAAAGAAATTACGTCACTGGCCTGGAGTAACAGAACAAGGGTGGGTACAGCTCTAAGTCCCTGGAGGAGACAGCTTGTCCCAAGGCTGTACTGCAGCAATGTGGTTTTTCCAGTCTTCTCAACATACAGTATTTGCAACTCTGCCAGTAGCCCTAGTTAGTTTTGAGAATACCCATAATACATGACACAGTTCTCATTCTGCTCTGAGCAGCATACAGGAGAGGCAAAAACTACAGTACAACATCAGAAGATCAACAGAACTGGAAACTGACCTTCTAGCAGTCACTGGTGGCTCATTCTCACACTGGACAGGTGCTTCACCTGGACGTTTATGATTCCCAGCCCATCACCTCCCAAGGCCAAGCACAGTGTCTGGGACATCTCAGTCCACAAGTATTTACTGACAGCTTGCCGTGTGCCAGGTGTGTTACACAGTACTGGGGTAAGCAGACAAGAGCACCTGCCCTCAGGAGTTTACATTCTAAAGGGTAGGGGTACAGAAAAACCAAGACAACTGCAGGGAAGGATGAGCAAAACCAAAATCAAGAGGGTGCCTGGTAGTCGGTTAAGCTGGAATGGTCACGGAAGGGCTCTTCCCTGTCCAATGCTCTTCAACAATTAGAGTTGAAGCTTGAATGGTGATATGAAGGGATCCTTGGGAAGATGTGGGGGACAGTATCTTAAAGCAGAAGGACAGCAAGTGCAAAGGTCTCAAGATGGGAAGCTGCTTGGCAGGTTTTATTTTTTATTTTTTGACTGTGCCCATGTTTTTTATTGGGGTGTGTCAAACACAGATGCCTTTTGTTCATATATTCTTTTTGGTGTAGATCACGGGTTGGCCAACTTTTTCTGCAAAAGGTCAGATAGCTGTGCTAGAGGCTGTGGACCATATAGTTTTTGTTGCAACAACTCAACTGTACTGCTTTTGAGGATTAATACTATAACATAAAATATTCAAAGACAGTATTTAAATGCATAAACATGGCTATATTTCATTAAATCTTCATATACAAAATAAGGAGGCAGGCTTGATTTGGTCTAAGGGATGTGGTTTGCTGACCCTTGCTTGGTACATTAAGTTCCCAGAACTCTTTCCAAAATCTTTTTAAAGTAAGTATTTTTTTAAAAATTTCTTTTTATTTTTTATTTTTTGAGAGGGCATCTCTCATATTTATTGATCAAATGGTTGTTAACAACAATAAAATTCAGTATAGGGGGGTCAATGCTCAATGTACAATCATTAATCCATCTCAAGCCTAATTCTCGTCAGTCTCCAATCTTCTGAAGCATAACGAACAAGTTCTTACATGGTGAACGAATTCTTACAGAGTGAATAAATTCTTACATGGTGAACAGTACAAGGGCATTCATCACAGAAACTTTCGGTTTTGATCATGCAATATGACCTATAAACCATCAGGTCAAATATGAATATTCATTTGATTTTTGTACTTGATTTATATGTTGATCCCACATTTCTCCTATTATTATTATTATTTTTATTTTTAATAAAATGCTGAAGTGGTAGGTAGATGCAAGATAAAGGTAGAAAACATAGTTTAGTGCTGTAAGAAGGCAAATGTAGATGATCAGATGATCAGGTGTGTGCCTATGGACTAAGTATTAATCCAGGCTAGACAAGGGCAGCAAGACATCCACGGATGCAGAAGATTTCTCTCAAAGCAGGGGGGGTGAGGTTCTGAGCCTCACCTCTGTTGATCCCCAAATTCTCACCTGATGGCCCCCCTGCGACTGTGCCTGTCTTAGGTTGTTCCTCCCTTGAGGAATCTTACCCGTCTCTGGCTAACCAGTCATCTTCCGGGGCCATACAGGGAAATGTAAAGTTGGTAAGTGAGAGAGAAGCCATATTGTTTGCAAAGGTTAGCTTTTTACTTCTTTGCAGATTTATGCCCTGTGGCTTCTATGCCCAGCACTTGTCTCGAGGTATCTTTACCACCTGGAGGAATTATGATACTCGGTAAATTCGATATGAGGCACGAATTCTATTTAAGGTTTGTAATTAGGAAGGAAGAAGAAAAGCTATAGATGTAGCATATGAAGGAAACTTGGGAGGATTGATTATTTCTTTGACATATCTTCTTGTATAGTACCTTAAGTATGTATAGGTTTTAAACTACTAACTAATTTGCACACACATATTAACATAATAGGAATACGGTGACATAAACAAAGCAAATCTATAATTACCAGCCATCTCCAGTGAAGCCAAGAAAACCATTTAGGCACCCTAGGCATTTGTGAAAATTTATCTATGATATGATGGATATTTTCCAACTGTACTTGAACCATCAGACAAATTAAAGCAGCCCATTTCTGGGATCTGTTCACATCCCATATGTTCTTTTAACCATAGATAGTCTATAGTCATGAGATTTTGGGGTGCTACAACTTGCACCCCTCCCAACTCCTGGTTGAGTTCCAACAGTACAGATCCAGTCAAATTCGTTGTCTCACTGTATGCACATGCCAGCCTAGACATCTCCCTCCTCCTTCTTATGGCAAGTCCAGGAGATGGTGGGCTGGATGCAGCCACAACCGCAGCATCGTCCGGATCCCTGTGGAGGCTTTTTGATGATCATCCCCCGGCACGAGTCCTCCAGAGAGTGCTGATGCCGGAAGCTCCTCCTCATATCGTATCTTAGTTCATTTTCTGGGTATCCAAGCTAGGCCTTGATCTTCTGCGTAGAAACAAACAGACCCTTTGCCCACACTTTGACATGCCCTCTATACCACTGTGCAGAACTCATTGGAGGTCAGCACACAGTAACTTTTTTTTTTTTTTTTTTTAATTAAGAGAAAGGAATATTATCAGAAAAGAGTACCTCCATAGCTGATCATCTGACACCCTTTAAGTGATCAACATTAAGGATATTTAAAGCATGCGTTGATCTTTGATTTACCAATAGTTTTATCCTGTTAAGGAGTAATCCCCCTTTTCTTTCTTTTTTTTTTTTTTTTTTTTTTTTTTAAATTTTTAATCTACACTTACATGAAGAATACTATGTTTACTATGCTCTCCCCTATATCAGGTCCCCCCTAACAACCACATTACGGTTACTGTCCATCAGCTTAGCAAAATGTTGTAGAGTCACTACTTGTCCTCTCTGTGTTGTGCAGCCCACCCTCCCCTTTCTCCCTCCCCCCATGCATGCTAATCTTAATACCCCCCTTCTTCTTCCCCCCCCTTATCCCTCCCTGCCCACCCATCCTCCCCAGTTCCTTTCCCTTTGGTACCTGTTAGTCCATTTTTGGGTTCTGTAATTCTGCTGCTGTTTTGTTCCTTCAGTTTTTCCTTTGTTCCTATACTCCTCAGATGAGTGAAATCATTTGGTATTTCTCTTTCTCCGCTTGGCTTATTTCACTGAGCATAATACTCTCCAGCTCCATCCATGTTGCTGCAAATGGTTGGATTTTTCCACTTCTTATGGCTGAGTAGTATTCCATTGTGTATATGTACCACATCTTCTTTATCCATTCATCTACAGATGGACATTTAGGTTGCTTCCAATTCTTGGCTATTGTAAATAGTGCTGCGATAAACATAGGAGTGCATCTGTCTTTCTCAAACTTGATTGCTGCGTTCTTAGGGTAAATTCCTAGGAGTGGAATTCCTGGGTCAAATGGTAGGTCTGTTTTGAGCATTTTGATGCACCTCCATACTGCTTTCCACAATGGTTGAACTAATTTACATTCCCACCAGCAGTGTAGGAGGGTTCCCCTTTCTCCACAGCCTCGCCAACATTTGTTGTTGTTTGTCTTTTGGATGGCAGCTATCCTTACTGGTGTGAGGTGATACCTCATTGTAGTTTTAATTTGCATTTCTCTGATAATTAGCGATGTGGAGCATCTTTTCATGTGTCTCTTGGCCATCTGTATTTCTTTTTTGGAGAACTGTCTGTTCAGTTCCTCTGCCCATTTTTTAATTGGGTTATTTGTTTTTTGTTTGTTGAGGCGTGTGAGCTCTTTATATATTCTGGACGTCAAGCCTTTATCAGATCTGTCATTTTCAAATATATTCTCCCATACTGTAGGGTTCCTTTTTGTTCTATTGATGGTGTCTTTCGCTGTACAGAAGCTTTTCAGCTTAATGTAGTCCCACTTGCTCATTTTTGCTGTTGTTTTCCTTGCCCGGGGAGATATGTTCAAGAAGAGATCACTCATGTTTATGTCTAAGAGGTTTTTGCCTATGTTTTTTTCCAAGAGTTTAATGGTTTCATGACTTACATTCAGGTCTTTGATCCATTTTGAGTTTACCTTTGTATATGGGGTTAGACAATGGTCCAGTTTCATTCTCCTACATGTAGCTGTCCAGTTTTGCCAGCACCATCTGTTGAAGAGACTGTCATTTTGCCATTGTATGTCCATGGCTCCTTTATCAAATATTAATTGACCATATATGTTTGGGTTAATTTCTGGGGTCTCTAATCTGTTCCACTGGTCTGTGGCTCTGTTCTTGTGCCAGTACCAAATTGTCTTGATTACTATGGCTTTGTAGTAGAGCTTGAAGTTGGGGAGTGAGATCCCCCCTACTTTATTCTTCTTTTTCAGGATTGCTTTGGCTATTCGGGGTCTTTGGTGTTTCCATATGAATTTTTGAATTATTTGTTCCAATTCATTGAAGAATGTTGCTGGTAATTTGAGAGGGATTGCATCAAATTTGTATATTGCTTTCGGCAGGATGGCCATTTTGACGATATTAATTCTTCCTAGCCATGAGCATGGGATGAGTTTCCATTTATTAGTGTCCCCTTTAATTTCTCTTAAGAGTGACTTGTAGTTTTCAGAGTATAAGTCTTTCACTTCCTTGGTTAGGTTTATTCCTAGGTATTTTATTCTTTTTGATGCAATGGTGAATGGAATTGTTTTCCTGA